ACCAACATTTGGAGATGGTGACATCTCCAAAGTCCACCAAATCTTCCTGTGCTGGTCCTGGGCCCTTCCCCATGTGTCCAGGGCCAGAGTGTAACCCTTCACGTGGGATGGGCTCTCAAAGTCCCTTCTTGCACCAGGGAAAAATACTAATCCACCACCAGAGGCTCCCTGGAGTGCAGAGGCCTAAAGGAACTAATTTTTAAACAACAACAAATGCCTCTCCTTTTCACTTGAGATTTAAATTTATGTTTGGATTAAGTTTATGCAGTATGCTGGGTTTATCCTCCTGTAGGCATCAGATAGATATTTATGGTAATGACTTAAAGCAGGAAAGGGCTACATGAAAGCAATATAAAGTGCATTTCCTTAGAGGAAACTGAACCCACTGACAATCACCCATCTGCACAGGTGTTCTTACTTATGAGTGTATTTCACAATCTCTGGTGAAGGGGTGAATATCTTCTGGGGTGTCCTCTTAGCAGCACCAATTTCTTTTACCAACTGCTGGATACCCTGAATTATCTGCTGGGTATACTTCATTCCAACTTTGATAGCATGACAGAAGTCCTGCTGTAGAATGTTTTCTGCAGAGGCTTCCAACATAACTAGTTAGGGAGAGAAAGGGAACAACTACTGACTGAGAACCTTTCATAAATAGAATATTTTTAAATGAAAAACAAAAGACACAAATAACAAAAGAAGTACAACTTAAAATAAAATCCAGAATGAATATATTTAAATTATTTACCAATTTGGCTTTTAGGTGCTCCAGCAACTACTAAATTTAAAGTACTAGAAGACATTTCTTTCCTTGTTGGGTTAATAACACATTCTCCATCAATCATTCCTACTCGTACTGCCCCTAAAACATAGTAAAATGTTAGCAATTATTTAATTAAAACTTGCTGTGTTTACAATATTATTCCAATAGCAGCTTCAACCCACTGTCTTTCTGACAACCTCTCCCATGTTGATGAAGCCCAGAGAGCACCCTATCTCATCCTTCTTTGCAGGCTCAGTGGGATGCTCTAAATCCCTCAAGTCAAATTTTTTTGCACATCTTTTGATGATGCTCTATATCCAGACTACTCCATCCAAAGCAAATACCTGCACCCCTCCCCCACTGGTTTCACTTCCACACTGGCTACTTTGAGAAGCCCTATTTGACAACCTGTCCTTCTATATCATTTCCCAAGCACCTTGTCTGTGCCATTATAATAGTACTCTTTGTAAATAAACATCAGTCTCTTCCCCTCAGTGCTTAGCCCAGTTGCTAGCACTGAGAACACTTGAAAGTTACAAATTTAAATCTTTAGTAGACTGTATGGTTAGCACTTACAGGAGCTGTAAGTTACAAACATGTTTGTTTTATCTTGAAAAAGTATATACTGTGGCCAGTCCCCACTGTAAAGAAAGGAAACTAAGAAGTCTAGGGCCATAAAATCAATAGCACTGTAACAGTGTTAGTGGTAACAAAACCTAAAGCAAGGATGGAAATGCCTGAAAGACCTGCAAGAGATCTTAGACTGCTGTCTAGTTCAGCTTCCCAGGAAGTAATAAATCAGCACAATGATATGTTCATTGTTATTCAGAGAATATAAGTAGCGGCTCATACTTTCAAATTGTAACTTACCAATAGGTCCATTCCAAGGAATGTCTGATAAGGAGAGGGCTGCAGAAGCTTTAAAAAGGAGAAAAACAAAACAAAACAAAACAAAAAAACAACTGAAATTACAGTATTTCATTGCTTTAAAAAAAATTAACAGTGATCATTTTAGCTGGTGTTCTTATACTTACCACCATTAATTGCTAGGATATCAGGTTCATGGATACCATCTACTGCTAGCAGATTACAAATAACCTGGCAACAAGGGAAACAAATTAGACATACAGACAACAACAGCCCCTTGATGTTGGCAGATTATGATTTAAATTAGCAACTTGGCCTAAAATATAAGAGGTATGTGATCAATATCCAAATCCCTTAAAGTTAGCTATCATATAACTAAATCCTTGACACTAGGTATTTAAAACTTCAGTTTCCTCATTTTCTTTTCTTAAGGGAATGTGGCATGCACATGGCTACCAAGCATTGTTGAACACAAGGCTTCATTTTTTACTACCAAGTTACATGTCCAGTTCTGTTTCATCTTCCTAAGGAATTGCTTTTGTACTAGGTATGCTACAGTATTCTGTAAATGATAGCTATGGACTTGTATTATTATCAGTGTGTATTGCAATGATGTACCCATGTTAAATTTTTAAAAGAATAATTTCCTTGGGGCTCTGATGTCCTCTCAAAGGTACACTTATTTAGTGCAGTTAAATAAAATGGCTATTAAGTATACCTCACTAAAACACATGATCACCTCAAGGAAAGAAAAGAATATTCTAAAAGCATTAAAATATAATAGAAGTTCAAAAGACCTACAAATAAAGATGTGTTATTAAAATTAGTTGTGATAAACTGGTCATGATGGCTCATTGCTGTAATCTCAGCACTTGGAAGGCCAATGCAGACAGACTACCACATGTTTGAGGCTAGCCTAGGCTATACAGAGGTCAAAGCCAGTCAGAGCTATAGAGATTTAAATCTTGTTTACAAAATCAAAACAAACAGTTATGCTGATAGTCCTAATGGGCTATTATAAATGTAACCTACAAAGTCCAGCCATTTAGTCTGGTTACTACCCATCACACTGTCTTTTTGTTTTTTCGAGATGGCTTCTCTGTATTGCTTTGGAGGCTGTCCTGGAACTGGCTCTGTAGACCAGGCTGGCCTTGAACTCACAGATATCTATCTGCCTCTGCCTTCCGTGTGCTGGAATTAAAAGCATGTGTCACCAACACTGGGCTCACACTGTCTTTTACATACACTCATTTATTTCCTAATACAGGGCCTTTTAGATTCTCACCCAAACTTCCTAGAGTGTTCCCAACAGTTCCTTACTCCTACTCACAATTTAGGCATTAGCTCAAAATGACACTAATCACATACAGTTTTTCAAAGTACTTCCTTTTAAAGTGATTTAAAGTATAAAGCTTTCTTTAGAAAGAGTTATAGGGGTTAAATAGTTTAAAACCATAATATATGATAACAAGCCAAAGCAGAATTTACCTGAGTATCATAAAAATAGCCCGCTGGAAAGAGAGGTCGAATTGAACGATCTGTCAAAACAAAGAAAAAAATATTAAATGACTCTGACAGAGCTGCTTTAGAATTAAAAGCTACTGAACTAATAGACAGCTGTTGAATATGTCACAGACACAAACAAAAAGACCAAGTGTTAAGTAAAACACAGGTAAGCATCAACACTTTCATTAATACAGACCATTACCTAGCTATAGAGCAGAGGAAGAGGCTGAAGACCAACAGCAGACGAATAGAAAACATTTCATTTGGTTTACTATGTCTGAGGAATACATATAAATATGTACAGGCTAGCAATTATTAGGAGAAAAGCTGTAGACTACAAATGATCCCATAATATTTGTGTATGTCAAAGAGCTGGAAAATTATTAGGCTGGTGACGTTACTTAGTACTACAGTGGTTGCCTAGCATGTCAATAATCCAGACTTTCACCACCACCACTGACTACTACCCCCAACGACCACCCCCTACCACACACCACCATCAATACCACCCCCCCACCTACCATCACCGTCACCAATACACCGTCACTCACCATCATCTTTCCCACCAATCATCAGCCCACCACCACCCACCACTACCATCTGCCCTCACACCACCCACCAGCATCACCACACCACCCACCCACCCACCCACTCAAGCCTCTCCCTTCTTAAGGGTAACAAATACAATGCTTTTAGAAGTTACTATATTGAACAAAAAAAATTAAAAAATAAAAAGCCACAAGGGATAGATTTAACAGAGAAAAGGCAGGGAATTCAAATGCTTAACAGATTCATTTAGTCAGTATTTACTGAATGAATGCCTCTACACTAGGTATAAGGATTTGGTAGTGAAGAAACAAGTTTTTCTTCTCATGCAGCATGCATCTGATAGTAATTAGTAGCCAGTGATAGTCATACAATGAAAGGGAGCTTAGGAGACCCTGTAGAGCAGAGATGGAAAAGAAGAGATGTGAACAACGGTACACTGGAGAGGCAGCGCCTCCTCTTACCTATTATTCGACTTGTGAGAATTTCTTTGTCAGAAGAGCCAATCTCCCTTCTAAGGTAGTTTGTGGGGATTCTACCTGCTGCAGCAGCCTTCTGTCTGTAGTCAACCTGCAATAGTAATGAAGCACTAAGACTCACATCCCAAGAACTGCTACATAAGCTCCAACTTTCCTGAAGCTGCTGACAACATATTCTAGATGACAAGTCGATAATAATTTGCTTTTAGCATTCTTTTAAACACTCAGGGGAAGAAGAGTATATAGAGTGCTTCAACCAACTGATGAAAAAATATATTCACTTAGCAGTCAGGTGACTGCCAAGTCTCACTACTTTCTAAAGTAGCTTACCTTCATCCAGTCAAATAGTGCCCCTTCCTCCCCACTTTGTGTATCAGCCCGGTGAGACATATTGCCTTCTGCTTATATTAGAAAGACACAAAAATCCTAATAATGAATTCTTCACTTAACATATAGCTGCACACTCAAACTATAAGAAAACCCATGAAGACAATGAATCATTGCTTCCTTAATATCAACACACTTGCACAAATTCACGGAGCTTGTCAGGCTTGACAAGTTATGTGAGCTCACTATTGGCCATCACTTTACATCCTCTTAACTGACAGTCTCAGACATGTAAGGGCAATCCTTCAGACAGTTGATAGGGTACTACAAAATCTACAGACAGATAAGCAAATACTTACCACTAGGGGCATGAACTGGGAAGGTGAGGGTTTTGTTTTACTGACCGCTGTAACCATCACTGCAGTGTCGCCTGACTTGGTTGAACATACACAAAAATACCAGTAAATTTCTTTAAAATCAGACATTGTATAAACAGCAATTGAATGAATCCCTACTCCAAATAAAGTCACTGAAAGATCTCTCTCTCACTCTGAAATAATGTCTCATTATGTAGCCCTGGTTGGTCTGGAATTCACTATATGGATCTCAAACTCACAGAGATCCACTTACTTCTGCCTACAGAGGTCCAGAGCCCTGGGTTTAAAGGCTTGCACTACCAAGCCTGGCTCAAAGAAAGAGCTCTTATTTCATATGATTATAACCAGTGCAATCTTGAACCTTTCTATCTGATCATAATCAGTATTAGAATACTCACTGGGGTTTTCACATGCAGAAATGGCTAAGAACTTGGTCACATCAATGAATAACATTTTCAGTCTATGAGGAATTTTAGACTATAAAGAAAAATCTTCAAGAATTAATATGAAAAGCATAATAAAAACACCTTTTCTAGAAAAAGCATAATAGATTTTATTAACAGAATATAAGAAAGTCCATGTTGGAAGAGATCTTAAAGGCCATTTAATATACCCAACACTGACTTTGCTAGTGTAGCATGGTTCTGACACAGAAAAAGTGTTATCTGAACTAATTCCCAATACCATATGATGACCTATGATGGCACAAAGATACCCAGCCACTGTCACTTTAAAACACAGACTGATTTCTTACCTGTACCACAGCACATCCATCTGCAAATCTTGCCAGTTTTCCAGAGGATATTTCTAATTTTCTGTTTAAAAAAAAAAAAAATACCAGTACACGTCTTAGCTTAGTAAAAATAATTAGAGAATCCAGAAAAAAAAAAAAAGGCTCTAAGTCCCCACCCCCACTTCAGAGAAAAAAAAAAAAGCAAAGTATGCAGGGTTTGTAATCATCAAAAGCACAAAGGAGATGAAAGTGTAGCCTGAAGATGATGAAAACCAAGGCAAAGGACTTATCTGGAGGAAAGAAAAGCATGTCAGGGAGAAAACAGGATTCCTAATTTCCCCATTACTTTCTGGAAAAAAAAAAAAAAAAAAACAGACACTTTTGAATATTGACTACAAAGACTTTCATGTTGATATATAACAGTGTTTTGTATATTACGTTAAAAACAATAGACTAATATCTTCTGATATATAACAGTATTTTGTATGCTATGTTAAAGATAATAAAGACAGCTGGATGGAGGTGTCCTATGCCTTTAATCCCAGCACTAGGGAGGCAGAGGCAGGCGGATCTCTGTGAGTTCAAGACCAGCCTGTTCTACAGAGTTGAGTTCTAGGATAGGCTCCAAAGGTACACAGAGAAACCCTGTCTCAAAAAACAAAAAAAGAACAAAACAAAACAAAAAAATAATGAAGACTTCTATCTTCTGATAAATAATAGTATTTTTAATGCTAACTTAAAAACTTAATAAATAATAATACTAGTAATAATTACTTTCATGCTCAACGGTTGTGCCAAGACAATTTAATGGTGGAAGAAGAGTCTTTTTCAGTCAAAGGTATGGAGCTGGCTGGATAGCCACATACTCCATACAAAAATACAAACTCAAAATAGACACTATTCCTTTTGGGTAAAGCTCTTTTGAGTAAAAAAAAAAGAAAAAAATCAAAACTCTTGGGAAAAAAAAAAAAAAACAGGAGTAAACTGCCTTAAACTTGGATTACACAATGTGTTTTTTGAAGTGACATCAAAAGCTCAAATACAGAGGCAAGATTATCTTCTGCAAGTAGACACCAGCTCTTGTCTAGAACTGTCTACAAGGCACGGGTGTGTAAATAACTTAGTTCTAAAAGTAAAAAGGTATGACCTATAAATTTATCAAAATATATTGAGAACATATATATGAACACACGGGTACAGATGTGTAAGAACTCATCAAACTCAGCCAACCAACAAAGGGTGAAACACTCTAATCTGGACCCCAAAGGACATCTAACACCATTAGTGGTGAACCCATTGGTCTGCTGTCAGTAGAGGAGTGAATGTCCTAAGGCTTCAGCTGAGCTGGCTGGCATGCCCTGCTCAAACTGTCATAGGCCTACATATCTATATGTGCACTTATTTGGACTCAGTTATGACCCTCAGCTCTCTGGCCCTATGGGGCTTCAGCACCTGTACAACTGAGACTTCGGGCCATAGTCTCTCTCCATCTGTCTTAGCTCTTTTCCTTTAGTCTAGTAAGTCTTTTTCAATGCCTTGAACTATGCAGCATCATTAATTCTGTAGTCACCCTGTATATAAACACAGTTATTTTTTTAAAACAGTTATTTTTACTGTGTGGGGTGTAATATGTAATCTGTGAATTGATATTAGTAACTGCCAGCGGAATAAAAGAAACTGTGTTTGCCAAAAGCCAGCTTGCATAAAGTAAACTGGAACTACTTGGCAAATTTTGGCTAACAGAACTGGAACAGTGTGAATGTATTGTTACTCCATGAACTCTGATACAGAAAGATGGGGTGATTATGTTTCGGGGAACATGTACTTTTCCAAGAAAACTTAAATTTATGGGGTTTTTCTTTTGTTGTTGTTCACTTTGCTTCTTGCCAATTTACTTTTCAATATTATATGTATAAAATATCTCCAAATGTGCTGGGCGTTGGCGGTGCAGGCCTTTAATCCCAGCACTCAGGAGGCAGAGGCAGGTGGATCTCTGTGAGATCGAGACTAGCCTGGTCTACAGAGTGAGTAGTTCCAGGACAGCTTCCTAAGCCAGAGAAACCCTGCCTCAATAAAACAAAAAGCAAACAACAACAACAACAAAAACCACTCCAAATGCATGAGGATCTATACGACATGGGTGGTCTCTGAGGTTTGAGACTGGGAGTTATGGGAACAAGTGTCAGAGCTTTAAAGTTTTAATATGTCAAACCATGTGACACTCTGGAAAAAAAAATAAGAATGACACAACAGAGTAGGACATAGTGGGATGAGAAGAGTAGAAAGATGCCAATGAAGGACAGGCGGCGGCTGTCTGCCACAGAAAGTGGAGCTTTGGGCAGGGGGGTTAGGGGGGAGTATGTTTACTCTGATATTCATTCATTCATTCATTCATTCATTCATTCATTCATTCATTCTCTCATTCATTCTCTCTCGTCTGTGTAATTCTCAGAAAATTTTTATCCCTTTGACCCTCTGTTGTCTTAACTACAAAATGAAGGCAATAGTACCTTCACTACAAGTTTAACAGGACTGTTTGCATCATATAACTGGTATTCAACAAAACGACGGTCCCTTCTCACTTTGGCCTCGCTTTTGGCAGAACTGAGCTGGGCACACACTCACTGGCAGGGTTCCCACTTGAGAGCCCGAGATCTTGGAAAGTAGTGAGAAAGGATGTCAGTCAGGGGCACAGGCAGGATCAGACTCAGAAGGAAGTCCACTAGGGGTTGGATCAAGAAGCAAAGGGCAGCCAGCGGGCAGCGTGGGAAAGGGGAGAGGGCCCAGGAAGACTGGCTTCAAATCCGGAAAAGGAAATCTCGAACTCAGGTTTGGGGCAGAAAGGTTAAAAGAGACCCAGGCAGCTCTAGTCCCACCCTGGGAGATTTGGCTACCAAAGCTGGCTGGAAGTCCGCGAACTCACGCCGTTCCTTACCTGTGGCCCAGGTCCACAGCCACCCTTCGGGACCCGGTGCTGCTCCACAGCGCTCGCACCTGCAAATAGGTGAGTGCCCGACTCCGCCCCGGCCAGCCGAGGGGGCCGAGGGGAGCGAGGGAACGGCAGCGCAGCGGCCGGAGCCGCAGGTACGAGCAGCACTGCCTGCAGGCCGCCATGACACTCTGCGCGCGCGGCCCGAGCGGCGTCTCATTGGCCAGTCCGCGTGTGGGCGGAGCCTAGTGAGCTTCCGTCTCAGCGGGGCGTGCATACCGCAGGGGCCAGCCTTGGAGGCCTACTACGTAGACCCGAGGGGGTCAAATCACCCGAATGAGTTTTTTGTTCAGCTTTTTTTCTGTTATGTTCTTACCAGTGAAAAATAAATACTTAAAAAAATTAAAAACAATTAAAGAAATCCCTTTAAATAACTTACCACGGTTTAAAAGGAAGTTTTAGAACAGCGTGTTTAATAAATATATGTAACAATAAATAAGGACTGAACAACCCATTATTATTTGGTTTCGTTAATTAAGGACTAGGTTCATATCTATGGAAGGGCATGGGAAGAAATCTTCTCACCCAATGACAGCTGCCTGTAAGTAATTCCACCTCTTGGAGGCTCATACTGAATCCACCAGCCAAGCGGGCTTGCTAGACTTGCTTGAGAGCTCCAGGTTCAGCAAGCGACCCTGACTCAAAAAGTAAGTGGAGCGTCATTTAGGTAAGATACCTGATGTAAATCTCTGACTTCCACATGCCTGTGCACCTGCAAACACGTGTATCCATACACATGCAAACTTGCATACACATAAATATCATAATACATACACTAGAAAACAAAACAAACCAGCCCCTTTTTGAGAACCCCTTGAATAATTTAGCTTTTTTCCAATTGTAAATTTTGTAGAGATGCATAAAAAAGGACGAAGGAGTCTATCTTTGCTTCCTTATGTCAGTCTAAAATAATTACTATAGTAGTAATTGAGTCATAAACTCAAATGCTAATTGCAAGCATTGAAATCTGTGGCAGAGCTTTTTTTCCCACAGTATGTTTATGCTAGGCAGCTTTAGGTTAGTATAGAGCCAGAAATATAAAAAATTTAAATTCTTGTGGCTGTAGCAACTGAAGCTGTTTTCTGAGGTTTTCATGTCCTAGAAGTATGTATAGTTCAGCTAAATATGTTCCACAGCTTCAGTTTAATTTAAAAGGAGTTTCTCTATGACTCTTGGAGAATATTAGAGAGAATGCCATCTAAATCCACTAGCAGTGTTTCCTATGTCCCCTTTTCTCTTTTTCTTTCATAGTCAAATTAAACTACATTAAAATAATACCACTGTGTGCTCTATGTGGCAATTTTACTAAAGTAAAACATAGATGGCTCACAACCATCTATAGAGAGATCCAATGCCCTCTTCTGGCATAAAGTCCTACATGCAGATCGTGTATAAAATAAATAAATAAATCTTTAAAAAAAATTGCCAGTTGATGGTGGCACATGCCTTTAATCCTAGCACTCAAGAGGCAGAGGCAGAGGCAGAGGGATCTATGTGAGTTCGAGGCCAGCCTAGTCTACAGAGCGAGTTTCAGAATAGCTAGGACTGTTACACAGAGAAACCCTGTCTCAAAAAAAAAAAAAAAAAATCTCATCATAGCCAGGTAGCTTTCTGAATCCCAAATACAATGTATCTTCATCTGACTAAATTTCAGTAGTGACCTGTTTCTCATGGTGTTTACACATCTCATTTTCTACTTGGTTTTTATGAACTTTAATTTATCAATTTTCTTATTATATCCTTTTAATAATACTCCGAATAAACTGAACGTGCTCCCTTGCATTGTATGACTTTTTCTCATGCCTCCAAGTCTTTGCCTGTATGTCTGTGTGCTCCGCACATGTGCCCTCCCTCCTATGTGTCAGTCTGGTGGCCTCAGTGCTTAATCAGATGCCCTGCCCTTTCCCCAGGCAGACGCATGGTAACCTGTCCTCTGGACAGAGGAAAAAGTGTTCAGATTTTTAACCCAAAGCTGTAGCTCTTGCTAGGATTCAAAGGCATGAATCTATTCCAGCTGTTTGTTTTTTTTTTTTTAAAGATTTTATTTATTTATTTATTTATTTACTTATTATGTATACAACATTCTGTTTCCATATATATCTGCACATCAGAAGAGGGCACCAGATCTCATAACAGATGGTTGTGAGCCACCATGTGGTTGCTAGGAATTGAACTCAGGACCTCTGGAAGAGCAGTCAGTGCTCTTAACCTCTGAGCCATCTCTCCAGCCCTATTCCAACTGTTTTACAGATACCAGTTAACTGACTTTTCTACAATATAAATTTCAATACAGATTGCAAACAATGGCATTGCTAACATATTGGAAACATTTTGTAAACTTAAGGTTTTTGTAAGCTTCAGGCAATGGACTTGGATTCACCTCTTTTTTTTTGTTTTGTTTTGTTTTTGGTTTTGTTTTTTTTGGTTTTTTTCGAGACAGGGTTTCTCTGTGTAGCTTTGGAGCCTATCCTGGCACTCACTCTGGAGACCAGGCTGGCCTTGAACTCACAGAGATCCGCCTGCCTCTGACTCCCGAGTGCTGGGATTAAAGGCGTGCACCACCAAAGCCCGGTGGATCCACCTCTTAAATGGACTCCAGATAAGCATTCTCAGTAGCCTGTTTCCCCACTTGCCAGTTCCTGACTGGGTGGGAACTCTTTCCTTTCCTGGTCTTGGGACTCCCTTCCCCCAGCTACCAGGACCATGGACCTGGGCCTGGAAGTTTCAAATGTACACCTAAAAGAAAAAAAAAATAACTTTATGGTCTGGCACTAATACATATCTGTTCCAGCAGATTTCCCATCAATTAAAGACTACACACTACTCCAGCAGCTGCCTAACACTGTTCCTAGTTCCAGAAGTTCCTCAAAAACCTGGACAAGGGAAACAGCTGCTCTTCCTGGATTTAGTCAACATTCTAGCTGTTTAGGTCCCCAACTACCACACCCCAGTGTCAACAGGAAGTAGTCATTGATGGATTTCATTGTTCCTGATCATTCACTTATTATAAGCAAAAAAGAGTGAAATGTTAAGTTTCAAACCCAGGGCAACAGGCTACAGTGCCTATTTAACATATCATCTTGCCTCTGTCTATCAAATGCTGGTATTATAGACATAAGGCTAGTATGCCTGATGCTTTGCCTCTCGTTTTGCTGTCAGTTAAAGCAGGTCTAGTTAGTCTTTGCTGTTCGTATTTTATGCAAGAAGCAATTACTAGTTTCCATTTTTTATATTTAAATTTTTAAATTAAATTTTTGTGTATATTTGTGTGGATATGGACATGTAGACACCAAGGCACACACGCCTTTAATCCCAGCACGTGGGAGATAGAGGCAGGTGGATCTCTGTGAGTTCGAGACCAGCCTGGTCTACAAGAGCTAGTTCCAGGACAGCCTCCAAAGCCACAGAGAAACCCTGTCTCGAAAAACCAAAAAAAAAAAAAAAAGAAATTTATAGGTAATCAGCAATCCCAACTGGACATGGTGGTGCACACTTGTAATCCCAGCAGCCACAAGACTGAGGCAGGGGGATCTATGCAAGTCTGAGGCCAGAATGGGCTACATAGGGAGTTCCAGGTCAGCCTATGTTACAAAAAGACCTCATCACCACCAACAAAAGAAATCAGCAATACTATATCAAAATGGACTCAAACATATGACAAGAGTACTCCAGTTCTGGAGCATATACCAGCTTTCCAGAAGCTCCTGTCTCATGACAACAGAGAAAGGGCTATTACTCGATAAACAAAGGAGTGAATCTGAGGGAAATGTTGACCTTTTCCTTTCTCTTCTAGTCGTTCTCTCCAGCCCCTTGCTTGGTTTGACTGAGTGTGGGGATAGTTGGGTGTGTCCTGTCTCCCTCGTGGGGTGGGTAGAATAGCACATTATTTCTAGGGAGGGTAGCAGCTCTTCTTAGTTCTCCTTAATCCCATTGCAAACATTAATGTTCTCATTCAGCTGTCATGGGTGCTGAGAATTTATTATGGAGTCTGTCAACTATTTTGTATTTTATAGAATGTTGGGAGTGGTGTTTTAATTTGCTTCCTGTTGCTGTGATAAAACACCATGACCAAAAACAACTTGGGAAGGAACAGATTTATTTCACCTATGTTTCCAGGTCACAATCCTTCATTAAGGAAAGTTAGGGCAGGAACTCAGGGAAGGATCTTGAAGCAGAAACTATGGAGGAACACTGTTGGTAGATGTTTCCTTCTCACCCACCAGTTCTCAAATAACAGTCACAAAGACTTTAATAATAATTACAAATGCTTGGTAAATAGCTTAGGCTTGTTACTAGCTAACTCTTAAGTTGAATTAATCCATGTTTCTTATCTATGCTCTGCCATGTGGCTTGGTACCTTTCTTCAGTATGGCATCCTCATCTTGCTTCTCTCTGTGTGTGCTGGTGACTCCTCTGACCCTCCCCTCTTCTTCCCATCATTCTCAGTTTGGCTGTTCAGCTATTGGCCAGTCAGCTTGTTTATTAAACCAATCACAGACACATATATTCACACAGTATAAAGGAATATTCCACATTTCCCCCTTTTTGTCTAATTAAATAGGAAGGTTTTAACTTTAACATAGTAAAATTATATAGAACAAAAAAGCAGCTATCAAGTAAGCATTACAGTTATAATATCCATTCCGTTTATATTTGGCAAATTTAGAAATACTCTATTATTTATCTTTGTGACTCTAAAGTTTTATACCCAATTTACCTTTTGTCATAACTAAAGAAGACATTAACTATGACTATCTAGTCTTCAACTCCATGAAAGACCCAAGAAGGGTAAAATGTTACCTAACATCAGGGACATCTGGGTGCCTGGACAGTCACCCTAGGTTCTTCTGTGACACTGGTGCATCCAACTTTGGCCTATAGGCCTAGAATATCTGACAGACTTTTCTGAGAAGCAGGAAATTTTGAAGGACTGTCCTACATTGTCTTGGCACAGTTTGGCAATAGCTTTCTTTTGCATCCTGTTGGTCCAGTTTGGACAGTATACTGTTAGTAACTGAGGTAAGGGCAGTTTCCTTGCCCAAATGGCTAGCTTTTGCCATAAAGAAAAAACCTCCATATGGAGGTTTCTTTATGCCAGTTATCTTCTCTGAAGTAAATTGGTGCT